GCACCTCCCTCAGCCAGCCTGGCATTTCTGGGACTGCAGGGGCTGCACTTCGGGGTGTCAAACAAGAGGAAGCAGCACTGGGGACACAGAAGCAAGATAAGCAAGGCCAGAGGGCAGCACATTCCCAATCCGAGGCGGGGGAATGAGGGATGCAGGAAATCCCAGCGCGGCACAACCGACCCCTGTTCGCTGCGGGAGAGGCCAAACCCAAACACAAAATGAACATTTAAGGATTATATTCCATAGCTCGGATTATGTCATGCTCAGCGCTGATATAAGCTCCATTTGCATCACCTATTTCTTATATAAACTTTTAGCTTTCCTTGCAAAACACACCCTGGCACTTGAGGGTGTTGGTTTGTTGCCTTTTTTTTTTTTTCCTTGAGAGTAAAACGACCTTTCTTTGTCATCATTAATATCTGTACCCACACAATTACTCCTTCCTCAACAGCACACACGAGGCTACTCAGCAGCTCAAATGTGAATTCCCTCCCAGCCTTAATAGATTTGCATTAGTGGAGATTATTTGCTCCCAAACCTCAGCGTTCCTGACCTGCAGAACACGGCACTGAGGGCATTTGTGTGTCCAGAGCTCGGCTTATTTATGGCAGGGTGAAGCTTGGCTTCCACCCACCTCCAGCAGAACTCCCTGCATTTAATGGATGGGGATTTGAGAGCCCTGAAGTTAAAAAGAGCAAGGGAACTGAGCAGCAGCTTCATCCAAGAACAGCAGGAACCCAAACCCAGCCCAGAGAGGGAATAAAAAACCCCAGTTTTCTGATTCCTCCCTTGTTTAGTTCCCTGCATCGTTGGGGCTTCCGAGGTGTTTGCAGCTTCTCCTCAGGCTTTGAGACACTTTGGAAGCTTTAATGATTTTTAAGGTGATTTTTAACAAAGGAGGCCACTGTAAAATAGGGAATTTTGCATATTAGCTGTTCAAAGGGGTTTTTGAGGAATAAAAGCTTTGGTTGTGTTGCTTTTTTAATCCTTTGCTGTTTGAATTCTCAGAGGCCTCTGGGCACGGGGACTCCACTCAAAGTTGGTGCTGTTGTTATTAGTAATAAATATCATTATAAATATGTTACAAAACACGTTGCACAACAAGAAATGTCTTGTCTGAAGAGTCCACTGCTTGGCCACGCTAAAACCCAGCAGTAAACCTGCACCATAAAGAGGATATTTCAGCCCAACTCAGTGGAGTTGGAGGCTTCTGTCAGAGGTTTTACTGCTCATTTCTTGTGCCTGTAGGTTTTTCAGTTTCTTGGTAGACCCTAAAAAACTTTTAAAGCCTCGAATCACAACTATTTATCACCCATCAGGGAGCTCCATAAAACGTATTTTCCTTCAGAATGACTGTTCTCGTTAAAAAAAAACACCCTAATTTAAAGAAAGAAAAAAAAAAGACAATTAAGAACACTTTTTAAAAAAAACTCCATTATAACCCAACTTACAGGGATCCTTAAAACTTAAAAATTAATGCCACCTGCAAGCTGTAAATATATGCATTATTCCATTTTTTTTTTTGTCCTCCCACCCCCCCCCCAAGTATTTTCTTTGGCTGTTACATTCAGCTGAACGAGGCCTAAAAATTGTCAAAGTGAATTCTTGTTTAAGAGCTGAGCTGGAAGCACTGCCAGTTTGAGTGAAACACCCAGCCAGGTTTAGGGAATACGTTGTATTTATTTTGGCTGCGGGTGCAAAGGGGAGGGGGGGAGAACATTTTCCATCCCATCCCAAGGCAGGCAAAAAAAAAAAAAAGGGGGGGCTTGAAATATTGCACAATAAAAGCCATTCATTATATCTGTCTCCTCTGCCTTCCAAAAACAAGAAGGGCTGACCAGTTCCAAATCTGTGCAGGGGGCAGGAAGATGGGAGTCAAGGGGTCACTGGAAATAACCCAAGACTAACAGCAGGTTTTTCAGGTTGGAGGCAGGGAATGTGTTCCATGCCCTCATTCCCAGCTCATGCAGGTTTTTCATCTCCCCCCCCCTCTCTTCCAAAGCCTGGTTCAAGTAGTTAATTGCTCTGTTCTGCACAATTTGCAGGACTTAATTACAAAACTAATACATTAGGCTGCTTGTCTGCGAGTCACGGGCCCAAGTGCAGCTTTTCTGCTGGGACCCGGGGAAATCAGAGCTCATTTCCAGTTCAAACATTTGGATTTGCAGTTTTTCCTCCTCATTTTAAACCCCTGCAATTTGCAGGAACACCCCACTCCCCCCTTCAGTTTGTTTTATATCTCCAGTGCTCACCTACCTGTTGAAAACGAGATTTCCTTCCCTGCCCACTCTTGATCCTTGCGTTTAAACCATCCTTAAATACCTGGATTTTTTGGATCCTTGGATTCTTCTCCTCCTTTTAAATCCCTGCAATTTGAAAGAACACCCCATTCCACTTCAGTTTGTTTTATATCTCCAGTGCTCACCTACCTGTTGAAAATGAGATTTCTTTCCCTGCCCACTCTTGATCCTCGTGTTTAAACCATCCTTAAATACCTGGATTCCTTGGATTTTTCTCCTCCTTTTAAACCCCTGCAATTTGAAAGAACACCCCACTCCACGTCAGTTTGTTTTATATTTCCAGTGCTCATCTGCCTGTTGAAAATGAGATTTCTTTCCCTGCCCACTCTTGATCCTGTATTTGAGCTATCCTTGGATTCCTTGGATTTTTCTCCTCCTTTTAAACCCCTGCAGTTTGCAGGAACACCCCACTGCACTTTCCAGTTGGTTTTATATTTATTTCCAGTGCTCACCTACTTGTTGAAAATGACATTTCTTTCCCTGCCCGTTCCTGATCCCTGTGTTTAAACCATCCTTAAATACTTGGATTTCCCCCCCCCCCTCTTTCCAGCTGTTTGCTGCCTTCTGCAAGGACCAGCCCATCATTCCCAGGAATATCAGAGTGCCAGGATTGCCAGTGAGGAGGAGGAAGAGCAGAGCACAAACCTTTCAGTGCATTTCTAACCAACAACTGGACCAGCTGAACCCACAATAATGAGATTTACAGGCAGCATTCAGGTGTTCCAGCATCTCCTTCTGCTGCTCAGTTAGAAGCAAGTAGAGAAAAATAAGCTGGAATTCAGCAGCATTTTTTTAGAATTGATTATTTTCAAGTCAAATAAATCAAAAGACATTTGCAGCCCTTGTTATTTTTTCCCCCTGGTTACCACGTCGGGATGAGAAAACTTTTTACTTCTATTAACTCATGTGGGAGAAACTTGGTCATCTCATCTCCATTTTTATAACTTAATGACAGCAAAATATTGGCACAAAGTAATTCCTGGGAAACATTAACACTTTCCCTTCAAAAAAACTTCCCGAAGAATTCAAGGCTGAGTTTGTTCTTTGTACCTTGAGCTCGTTAAAATCGAGGGAATTTAAGCAGAGACCATTCCAAGTGTGAAAAATTATCAGCCCCTGCTTCTGTTACAACCTTCTGCATAACTGAAGACTTGTCTCCTCTCAAATCCACTCTGGATTAAGGAGACAATTGATTTTGAGAATTTGAGGACAAATTCTCTACAGAGGATGGACAAAAGGAACTACAGGCACTAAGTGGAAATACCTGTTGGAAACAACTGCAACCTCACCGTTTCTTGTAGTTCTTACCTCACATTAAGCACCCACAACTCATCCCTAACAACCCTTGTTCCCAGGACAAAAATCCAAGCTTTGTTTTCCCCTCCATAGAAAAGCCCTATCTCCTTTTAGCAGGTAATCATTCCACTCCAGAATTTTATAAATTCCAGGGCTCAGCTGCTGGTTTGCTTTATTTTTTTTTTTTTTTGTTTTGAACGTCAGGAGTAGCAGCTCTTCCTAAGTGACTCATTTTTTTAAGCTTCAGATTTTCACCTCAGCCAGCACCGTTTGTCCCTCCTGCTGTGGGTTCCCAGCTCCCTCCCAAGCACAAAGCTCGTGTCAGCCTGCCCTCTCCTGGCAGCCAGCAGCACTCAGCCCCCAAACTGCTCCCAAATCCCAAAATAAAACATCAAGCAAACTGGTTTGGGAGGGATTTAAGACCCGTGGATGTGGCACTTTGGGGACAGGGTTTATGGCCCACGTGGCAGGGCTGGACTGGGGGATCTTAAAGCTCTTTTCCAACCTCAACGATTCTACAACTTGAACAATATTTAAGTAGCAAAGTTTCTTTCAAGCTGCCTGAGGAGTTCCTGTCTTGGGAGGAACAGGCATAAAAATCAAACTGCTCTGTTTGCTTTTAAGCCCTATAAAAGCAGCCAAGTACATAAAATATTTTATTCCACATCACCAATGATAAAAGCAAGGCTGGTGTTCCACAGAAAGCCGTTTCCTCCGGGCTGGCACAGGAATTCCTTCGTGGGAAACACCAGGAAAAATGAAAGCAGCAGCAAGTGCTGGAGCAAACCACTGACAGTCACTTTTTATTGCACTGGTCCAACTAGAAAAATGCAACCAGGGAGATGCCAGGCCAGGCACTGAACCCCAGGGCTCTGCTTTCTGTGCTCAGGGGCTGGAAATGAAGCTCAGCTTTAGCTGGTTCACTTCCCTCAGCCAATCTCATTTTTCTACATGAATTTTATAGATAAGAAAGATTTAAAAGCTTTGTTTTTCTTTTTTCCTTTTTTTTTTTAAATGACCCACCTTCAGAGCAGAGAAGCAGAATTCAGGAACTCTTTCTAACACAAAATCTTAATCTCAGAAACTTTACCTCTGCTCCTGTCCAGGAGTCAAACAGCCTTTTCAGAAGATGGTAACAGGTCCCCCACCTCTTCCTCCTCCTCTTCAAGCCAGTTCTTTCTTTCTTATTTGCAGAAAATCTCAAAAGGGCTTTCAAGTGTATTTTTTTTGAAATCTAGAAGAAAATTCGTGCAGATTTCAACAGCACTTTAAAAGGAATGATCAAGGCATGATCAAGCACTTTAAAAGGAATGTTTGCTGGGAAGCAAACACTTCAAGCAGTTGTAGCTGAAAGGACACATAATTTACACCATGGTTTAACTACTAAAGACAACTCCACATTCATCATGGGTGAAGAATATTTTATTCTCTTGATTACCTGCCACAGCTGTACCAGACCAACCCCCTGAGCCAAGCCAGTCTTCCCCACAGGTCTGATCTTCAAGCATTTTAGGCATCAAGACATGGAAAATTAGCTCTAAGTTATCCAGAAAATTAATAAGGGAATAAAAGTGGAAGAGAGGAGAAAACAGCACTTGAGACAGAACATAAGACTCTAATATTCATCTTCACTTCAGAAAATCAGAGACAGCTGAAACCTCGCTGAGTGTCCTCGGGAGGTTTTTCTGCTTCTTCCGAGTGTTTGGTGTTATTTCTGTCCTTATTTACAGAATTTGTGATTCTCCTTTTCTGGGTTTGAGCCCAAGGAGTTTCTGGAGGTGTGGGTGCACTTCTCCTCCTCCTCCTGCCAGGCCCGTGGGCACAACGAGCAGAGTTCTCGTTCTCCTTCCCCAGGGCTGGGAACAGGCCGGGGCTCTGCTCTCGGGGCTGAACGTTCTCAGACCCCGCCAGGATGGATGTGCTGACTCTCCTCCTGGATTTGGGAGCGGGAGCTGGCAGGGGAGGCTGCTCTGGGAGCTCCCTGGGGAGCTGAATCCATGCCAGTCCCTCAGTTCCTGCCTCTCTCCTGAGCCTCATGCTGCGCCGCACTCTGGTCTCGCCGCTGGCGCTGCCCTTCCTTCGGGAAGGCTGGAGGGAGCTTTTGGGAACACACAAAACTTCTTCCACGTTATAAGATGACACTGGGAGGTCAATTCCAGTCATTTCCAAGTTTTCAACAGGAGGAAAGTAGATGGCACTGCTGCTTCTTCTTCTTCTTCCTCTTGCTGGGCTACCACTTACAGAACCTGTCTGAGGGCACTGAGTTCCCTGGGCACCCTCGTGTACATCAGTGGCCTGTTGTTCCAGAAATCCCAGGAGACTTCCTTGTAGTTGCTCATTTTCTGTCAAGGAACTACTCTCCTTTGCTTCATCTTCACCTTGCTGGAAACCCTCAGATGTATCAAAACCACCCTCTGCATCTGGCACAACGTTTGAAACCTGAGGGGGATAAAAATAATAATAATTCTTCATTTTTTATTTTTTTTTTTTTAGACACAGGCAAAAGGTGATCCACAAAAACCTGGTTTCAACTAAACAACTGTTGGTGTTTTCCACCCCATGCCTAGTCATTCTCCAAACGGCTAGACAGACTGACTCCACAGAATCCTGGCATCCAGAATCCACAGGCTGGAAGCCATTTCAATGCGAGGCCAAGCTCAGGTTGTTTGAGAATCCCAGAATCCTGGGATGGGCTGGGTTGGAAGGGACCTTCAAGCTCATCCCATGTCCCATGGGCTGGGACACCTCCCACCAGCCCAGGCTGCTCAGAGGCCTCACTCAGTGGAGTTCTAAACCCTCATCACCTCTTCCCAGGCTGGAGATCCCACGGCCTCTCCAGGCAGCCTGTTCCAACCTTTAATCCATCATTCTTCCTGTGTTTTCCTTCCCCCCAAACACGACTTTCCTGATCCTTAAGCAACTCAGTTACCTCCTGCTCAGTGCCAGAAGGAGCCTCCAGGTCCCCCTGGGACACCTGAGGGGCCCCATCCCCGGAGCTGCCGGGAGCTGCCACATCCAGGTCCTCGGAGCTTGGATCCACATCCAGGTCCTCGGAGCTTGGATCCACATCCAGGTCCTCAGAGCTTGGATCCACATCCAGGTCCTCGGAGCTTGGATCCACATCCAGGTCCTCGGAGCTTGGATCCACATCCACTGCAGGGATGATGCTCTTCCCTCTCACCCCTTCAACCACCACCTTCTCCTGGACACCCTCACAGGCATTCCAGGATTTAGGGTTATCTGCAGCTGCATCCTCTGAATCAGAACAAACAGGTGGTTAATTAACTCTGGGAATGCACAAAAATCTCTTTTAATTATAACAGCAAAAAGCTTCATAGTATTTTATTCTATATAAAATTAACCTTCTAAACAACCATTCCAGAGGAATAGTGGGAAAAACCCCACAGAAAGCTCTGCACATCCCTTGACTCTTCATGCCCAATTCACCAGCTTTAAAGACTGAAAATATCAGTGCCCAAAGAAAAAGCTTTTTTTGTCAGCTTTACACTGGAGTCCACCAAGAGGTGAATTTATTCAGTTGGACATTACTGATCTATTAGATCCTCCAGACTCTGCTATTAGAGAAGCAATTAAATTAAAAAATATAATGGTGGGCTCGTTACTGATGCACAAAGATAACCAGGAACAGGTTTTTATGGAATAAAAAACGAGAAGGAACAGAGAGAGCAAAGCAAAATAAAGCTAAAAACCAAATTACCTGAAAAAAGCCCCTCTGCCTTTGGTGAGTCTGGAGATGAGACAGAAGAGAAATCCTCTGGAATTTCAGGGATAGGGCTGAGAAGGGGTTTCTTAGAAGCCATCTCTCTTTCCCCATATAAAGATTTTTTCACTTTTCTCTTTCTTCTTTTCCCGTAGTTTGTCTGTCTTGATCTCTGCAAACATTGAGAAGCCTGACTAGAGCACAACATCCTCCACAACATTTTCTATCAAATAAGTGACACCACTGCTGGATTGGGATGGAAGAACAATTGTTTCCCCTAAAAGGAAGGTTCCCCTCGTTCTACCATCTGAAAACTCCAAGAATTTCTTTTCAAACACGAGACCTGGTTTTTGGGTCACTCAACCAAACCCAGAAGGCAAAGAACTGAGTCTTTCAGCTCTGAAAACTGCACTTTCTTCACCCACTGCTCAGTCTGAAAAGGATCATGGGCAAAAATCTTTTAGAAGCTTCAAAGCTTTGTGATACTTAAATAAAATAGGACTGGGCAGGTTCAAACATCTACTGCTGCAGGCACTTGGGAAGGGAAGAACCAGAAACTCGTTTGCTGTCCCTGAAGTGTGAAAAGGGATAAAAACCCCTCCTTTTTGCCCTAGAAATATTCAAGCCCTGCTGATCAGCCTGAAAAGTGACACAAATACCCCCCCTTTCACCTCCTTTTTGCCCTACAAATATTCAAATCCTAATAAATCAGCCTTTCTTGGGAAGAGGAACTCGGCAGTAAACGTTGGGAAACAACTTGGGAACGAAGAAGAAAATCTTGGCAGCAAGAAAGAACAACAAAGACTCTTTACAAAAGTCAAAATAATCACAGAAAACCCAAGGAGAGACACTTGGATTGGGGAATAAAGGCAGGAATCCCCAGTGCAGTGGCTGCCACTCACCTGTGGTTTTTTGGGAGCAGATGTGGTTGGATTCTTCTGGCGTGGGATCTTGTTCTTCCTTGGATTTTTAGTGCCTTCAGCATTCCTGGTGGTGGTGGCTCCTGAGGGTTTGCCATCAGCCTGCTCTGACTCAGCCCTGTGCTGTTGAGGGAATTTTGAGTTGTTTTTTATAAAAAAACCACCAGAGTCCAACTGGCATCAGAATCAAACTGGGCTTAGCCTCTATAATTTCATTTATGGGGCCATAAAAGGTAGAGACAACTGGAAATTAAATGTTACAGAGCTTGTCTTCACACAGTAAATACAGCCCTTTTTGCACAAAAAGGACATTCTAATGAGAAAAATGCTAAATTTTTCATCTTCAGTTCTTTCTTTCAGGGTTAGTTTTTTCATATTCCTGGTTGGGTTTTTTTTTGCCTTCCCTCTCTCCAATAAACCACCCCAGAGCTGTCCAATATTGAAGTGTCAAAGCTCTTAGGACAGAAATTGTTGTACAATCAAAATTCCAGCAACCACAAGGTTTTGTCAGATTATTTGGGAAAGCTCCTGGAAAATTCCATGGAAGTAGTAAATTTGAGTATCAGGCTATTAAAAAACAAAAAAATCGTTTTAATAACTGGAAAACCACTTTCACTCAGAAAATCTTATTTCCTGGAGACAACTCCCTGCACTAACAGGAGGTATTTCCACATACCTGGAGATGGACAATCCTCAGGAAAAGGCTGGAAAAGGGGGTATAAAACATAACAATTCTGCCTGAAGAAGTTCCAAAAACAGATAAAAAAATCATCACTAAAGAAATTTACCTTCCTTTTAGCAGAAGAACGAGTTTTTACCACGTCAGCTTTGTCAGTTGGTGCTGTGATACATGAAAAATAAAAGAATTTTGATTCAGTTTCAGTGCAAAAGTTGATCACATCCCAAGGAAATTATCCCCATAATTCCTAATATTATGCACTTGAACCACCTTTGGCTTGAGTAGTGACTTATTCTTGAGGAATATCAAATGTGGCAAGATAAAGAAAATAACATTTTGCTTTATAAAATAGAGGAGAACTAAACTGGGGAGGGTTTGGTGAGAAATAATTAGCACACAATAATGCCCAGCTTTCATAAATACATGTGCACAACCCCCTTTCAATTCTTTTATTGTTGGCTTGATATTTTAATATCAGAATTGTGATTGTAAGTCCAATTTAAGTCCAGACTTACTTCTTTCAGTCTGACTAGATCAGGCACTTTCAGAGAAAATACAAGGTTAAATAACAACCTAAACCTACTGCCAAGAGCTTTAGAAGAAAGCATTTAAATTTTAGCACAATTGAAATACATCCTCTGTATAAAAAGAAGCCAAACAGACAAAAATAAAACCAAAAAAACCTCAATTCTCAGTTTTTCAGGTGCAAAAAGATTCATTATCTACAGCCAAAAATGCAAGTTACCTTCTGCATTTTCAACAGGTGGAGGGTCTTCTGCAGCAAAGGAAGTCTCCAGGAAATCTTGGGGAGGTTCAACACATTCCTTCAAACAAAAAAAGTTACATTTTTTAGCAATAAATATGCCAGGTAATGACATTTTTTAACAATAAATTACACCGGAGATGTACTGAAAAACCCCTTGTCCATCAGTGTTTGGAAGAGCCAAGTGGTTTTATTATTTTTTCTTAAAGAATGCACCAGATCATTGACTACATGTGGCAAAAAGAGTTACAGCATCAAAATAGAAGAAAAAAAACAAGGCAAAAACACTCCTTGTGCCACCAGTACCCACCTTCAAACACAGTTTTACAGGCCAAAGTGCTGCTCAGAATTCATAAAGCAAAAAGAAAGTTGAATAAAGCAGACTTAAATTTAGTATTTCAGCAATTTCTTGGCAAAACCAAGCAGGCTCGGGGGAAAAAAATTCAATAAAAATTCAATAAAAAGTGACCATTCACAGAGAGCAGGGGCTGTTTTTGCAGCTTTAAAGAATAACAGTAAAGAACTTACATCATCCCAGTCAAACTCCAGCCTGGGGAAAGGTTCTGCAGTTAAGCCTGGCCTTGGGGAAGGGCTGGAGCTCAGGCCTGGGGAGGCTCCTCTGCGCAGGGGGGTGTTTGCAGGCAAGGTTTGGTCGAATATTTCAGGGCTCAGAACTTCTCCAAAAGTCACTTTTTTCTTCTTGGGCGTTTTGAAGTCGAGATTTTCAGTGTTCTCTGCTGGAATAAAACAAAGGAGCAGCTCAGGGGGTGTGGGACTGTCCCAGAGTGGGCTTTGCATGGGTCTGAATATCCCCCCCTAAAATCCCAAACAAACAGCAAAATCCACCTTTATATGTCCTGTGGGATCATCCACAATTTTCAGTGTAGCTTTATTACAGTATAAAGAATTAAGGAAGAAAGCAGAAGACTAGGAATGACCAGCTGTTCCACAAGTTTCAGTTGACAAGTGTAAAATTCCTGGAAAAATCAGTGACTCTGCCCTGGTGTCAGAGGCTTCCTGAAGATTTTTGGGGTTCAGTGACTCTCTTCTGGTGTCAGAGGCTTCCTGAAGTTTTGGGGTGGGATTAATTTTAGCAGATTTTATTTAGTGGTGTTTTATTTTATTTCGTAGAGTTGATTTTATTTTATTTTCCTTGGCAATCTCATTTTCCAGGTCATGCAGTGGGAGGTCACACAGGAGCTAACTCAGTGGTGGTTAAAGTAGATCACCAAAAAGAATTAGCAAAGAGGCCAAACTTTATGATCCCAGATGATACTCTGCCTATTTAAAAAACCAAAATGGGAATTATTTGTTTTTTAAAAAGGGGAATCTAACCTGTTTCTGATGCTTCAAAGGTTTTTTCACAGTAGGAGACTGGGACAGGTTCACCTCCTCCTCTGCCAGCTGCATCGTTCAAGTATTCCTGTCAAATTTAAATGATACCAGTCAGTACTATTTAATTATCAAATCTCAAATTTAATTAAAATATCCTTCTCAAAAGTGAAGATAAATTTCCCTATGAGCAGCATTTAATAACCAGTCTTTTTGTTGTAAAAACTTACTTGTTTGCTGAATGAATAAAACTCAAAGACATTCATACCATATCCAGAATCCTGGAATGGTTTGGGTTGGGAGGGACCTTAAAGGGCTTCTCATTCCACCCCCTGCCATGGGCAGGGACACCTTCCACTAGCCCAGGTTGCTCCAACCTGCCCTTGGACACTTCCAGGGATCCAGGGGCAGCCACAGCTTCTCTGGGAATTCCAGCCCAGCCCCTCCCCACCCTCACAGGTGGAATTCCTTCCCAATATCCCATCTAAACCCACTCTGTCAGTGGGAAGCCATTCCCAGTCCCTTGGAAAATAGTGTCTCTCCACCTTCTTGCAGGTCCTGGAAGGTGCAATTAGGTCAAGGCCAGCTCTCCTCCCAACACAAAAGCTTCAAGCCAAGCAGCATTAAATTATCTCCAATCAACATCAAAGGCTCTTTAACCCCGACCCAAGTGCTGCTCACTCCTTAGGGCTCTGCAGCAGCTCATCCTTAGTGCTGGGACCTCCCTGGACCCCAGGAACCAACCTTTGGGCTGCCCAGGAGTTGCCTCATGGGGGTTTTCTTCAGGATGGACCTCAGGGAGCCGCTCTGGGTGAGGTCACTGAAGGGAACGGTGCCTGCTTGTCGGGGGGTGGCAGGGGGGGTGACGAGGGCTTTGCTTTCCTCCAACATTCCCAGGCTCAGGCCTGCCACAAAACCAACCTTCTTCCTGCTCGGATCCGAGAGAACATCACTTCTGGTGTCTGCAGGGGTGGGCTCAGACCTGAAAACTTTGGGGCAAGGGCACAGATACGTCAGTTAAAGGCTGAAGGGAAATCAAGGAGACTTTAGGATCAACAACACAAACTGGCACAGATTCTGTGCAGCAGCATCACAGGAAAACCCATTTGTTTGTAAATTTTGGCTCTTGTGGCGCCACATTTATGTTCAATATTTTTGGGAATTTATAGAACATACAAAAGGAGCGTTGCATGGAGGAAAAGACATTTTGCATGGGGATTTCTCTCTGCTCCATGTCAGTTGTGGGGAGGGGGAAATGAATGTGTTCTCTGATGTACAGAGAGGGACTCTCTGCATTCATATCCCTCTCTCCTTCACAGCCATGAGCTACTCAACTCTACTTTTCCTTAAAAAAAAATCCTGGCTAGAAAATTACAGAAAACTAAGTAATTATTCCCAACCTGTCTCTCAGTTTGAGCTTTTTTCCCTACCAAGCTTCCCTACCCCACCTTCCCAATATTTCAGCCCTTCTCATAAAAGCTCTTTCCTTCAGTGCTTCAGTAAGACTGTGTTTAATGCTTGGCTGGGCTGAACAAACTCCAAATTCTGGTTTTAAGCTGGGCTTTGAGGCACAGCAGCTCTCGAACTGTTTGTTATTTACAGCCCTTTTTTTTTTTGTGTTCCCCCATCAGCCTTTATGTCAGAGTGACCTCAGGTTTCTGGTGCATCATAAATTGCAGGCAAGAGGACAGATCTGAGGTGAAACATTTCCTGACAAATATTCCAGGGGGTTTATTTCCTGAGGAGAATATAAGAAAGGTTTTAATGCTGATGAATCCTCTTACCATGGCCTCTTTCCAAGGTATCTCCAATTGTAACAGTCTCCAAGGACTCAGAAGGATTTTTTTGCCCATAAACCCATTCCTAGAGAAAAAGTTACAAGATTTTATATATATATGTCAATATATATCATCAATTTATATAGACACCAACACATGATAAAGAAATAAAAGACTACCTGACAATGTTGCCTCTTAAAATAGCACAAACTGTGGAGCTTTTTAATCCCACAAAGATTTCAGTGTTTTCTCAATCAGCCACTACTTTAGTTGGATTTATTTTCCCCAAAACTAAATGTTTAAAAGGATTAGACGGCAGAAATGAAAACATAAGGCATGAAAAAGCTATTTTAATCACTAAATTAGAAGTTTCCTCTTAATTCTGAGTACCTGTAGAGCAGCAGGTTCAGTCACAGCTGGGTTTGGAGACAAGATGCTGCAGATCCTGGGGTCACATTTACTGCTCCTGGTCACATTTTCCCTGCAAAAATTCTCTTTCAAATCAGCTCCACTGTTGTCCAACAGGAACTTTTCACTCCACTGCTCCAGGTTTGGCTCCTTTTTAAAAGGCACTTTGTTCTGAGCTGCATCAATTAAGAACAAAACACAAACCAAACAAACCACAAGGACAAACTTCAGGTTTTTTCAGTGAATTCTGGTTTTAGGTTTCTTCACCAAGAGGATGGTGAGATGCAAAAAGCCAGGTCATGTTTTAGGCAGGGAAAAGAAAACACATTGAAAATAACATCACCAACCCTCCAAAACAAAGCAAGTTATCCTTTGCATGTAAATGTTTGGAAGATACCAGAGAAATAAAATAAAAACCATTCTCAGCTTCATGGGAAAAGTGTGCAAACACTAATGCTCAGTGAAAAGCACAAAGATTATAAATCTAGGAACTAAAGCTGAGGAAAGAGTCACAAAACCACGAGTTTTCATTTTTTTTCAGGGGTTATTCTGAGGAACCACGATTCAGGATGCACCAAGATGGTTAAAAGACACAAAAAAATCCCTCAAAGCAAACCCCAAACCCACCTGTGCCAAGCCTTATAAAGGAAGATTACTTTGTTTTACGTGAAGTATTTTTAGTTTCTCACTTTTTAGCCTAAAGGAAGGCCTGATGTTTAAGACAAACCACTGAGCAGAGTATTAAATCAACTTACAAGAGCCTCCTTCCTGAGAATCATCCCCGTGGGACAGCCCAGAGAGTCCAGTTTCCCCTTCAGCTTCTTGGAGGGATTCAAAAGATGTTTGAAAGGTTTCAATCTTGTCCTTCAATGACCTGACACTCACATGTTTAAAAGGACTAATCTGCCAAAACAAAAATTAACCTCATCAGACTCTTTATTGCTTTGTATTTATCCTTTGAGATAAAAAAAAAAGAGAGAGAAGAACCGAGTCTTGTGTTTAATCTGCCTGCAGCTGTAGGTGGATGGTAAGAATAAGTAAAAAAAGGAACTTTATCAAGAAATATTTTAAGTTTTACTGCATTTTAATAATCTGTTCCTCTAAGCCATGCCCAGAATTTGCTTTCTGACAGCCTGGGATAGTTCAAGTTAACAACAAGTCTGATTAAACCAGTCACTTGTGCTCATATTGACTTCACTCACAACACTTTAATTACCCAAAAATCAAACTCGGAAAGTAAGACAAGTTAAAATACACGAGCAGGCTCAACGTGGAGAAGATTCCAGCTTCTAAACAAAACCTGGAATGTCCCCTTAGCCTAAAGTCAAGTGGCCAAGGGAAGTCAGCAAAATCAGGTTCTCTCTCCTGCTGGATTCCTCCCAGGCCTTGCCTCATCCTTGGTGGTTCCTGGGGGGAACTCGAGTGCCCCAGGTGATATTTGGGAAGGACTCTCACCTGTGTGAAAGGTTCTTTTTGCCTCTTGCTCCTGTGCTGGGCCAGGTAGCGGATGAGGGAGTTGTTCTCCGGGGAGCCCCGCAAGCCGATGGTCGATCGGCGCCGAAACTTCAGCGAGGTGGGAGAATTCCCTGCCAGGGGGGACAAGAGCAGAGCTTAAAAAAAAAAAACCAAAATAAGAACAAACCCAGAAAAAGCCAGGCATTTTTTTTAATACCTAAAGCTTCAAAATGCTATTTTTTTCCCCTTTTTAAGAGTGATTTCTGCTATTTCTGGAGAGACCCGAAGTTATCTGCTCAGCTCAAGAAGTTTTCCTGAGCAAAAGCAAATGAAGTGCCCAAAAGCAAGTTAATATTTAACTGATTTATATACCATGTGAGGGGCTGGCTGGCTTTTAGTTTTTCAATTGCTAGGTAAGGAACTGTCCACAGGATTTGCAGAATTTGTCTTACAGCTCCCTTGTGAAGCTCAGAGATGAAAAGGGAACATCTAATTATGTAGGATGCAGGATAAATTCTGGTTAAACATGGTAATTATCTTATATATAAGATATCCTATACATTACATTATATGTATATATAATATATATATTATATACATATATATAACATATGTTATATATACATATATATATGCTACATATACATATCTATTATATATGTATATGTTATATATACATATATATATGCTACATATACATATCTATTATATATATGTATATATGTTATATATACATATCTATTATAATATATTATATATTATGTATAATATATATACATATACATAATTTACATGTACATAATTTTCTATATCATATATTGCATATATTATATAGAAAAATATATCATATAAATATAGAATTGATATAAATAAATAAATATCTATAGAAGTAAATATTATATAAATATATAAGATATAGGATATTATAGCAACCCCTCTCAGAGTCTGCTCCTTGGGCATATCCAAATGCTGTCAGACCACCTGAATCCGGCCTAAATTGGAGCTTTTGGGAAGAGCTTGGACTAGATGATCTCAAGATGCCTCTCTGGGAAGGACAACAGTCCTTCCTCACTCCAGCCTCACCTTTACATCGTTTAGTGAAACTTTCTGGAGCAATCCCAAACTCAGTAATTGTCACAGTAGCAAAATCAACGGGTTTTTCCCTCAGCTCTTCAGATGTCCCCAAATCAGGTTTTCCTTCAGCTCTGTCCCACTCAGGAGTGGAGCAGGAATCACTCCCCAAGGAACCAGACCTGCTGCCTGGCAAACTCTCCTTCCTGTTCAAAGGCAAGGTGGGTTCACTGCCCACACCCCCTTGGAGGGCACCACAACAGCCCCCAGGGAAGGGGCAGCTCCCGGGATCCCCCTCGGGGGGGGACAATTCCTCCCCGAGGCCTTTGGGGGATTTCAGGGCACGTTTGGGTGACCAGGCCTGGTTCCCATCGCTCAAATTCTCCTTCTTGGACGCTCTGATGACTCTGAATTTCGTCCCTTTGCAGATCTTCTGGTCTTTTGGCAGAGGGAAAGAGGCCTCATCTTTCTCTTCGAGACAGCCACCCTCATTTTCTTTAACTTTCAGGGGACTCTTGGGTTGTCTGTGCATTGTTTGGGATTTATTTTAAGAAACATTCACTCAGCCTTCGCTCCTGTAATCACAGATTCCTATCAAAAAGAAAAACCAGATTATTATAGTTATTTGCTAAGAGCAAGAGTTCCCTACCACGCTCAAGCTGCTCCCAAACCCACATTTTTCCTGAGCAAGGTGTTTTTCCAGTGTGATGGAAAGGAAAATTTATCTCCAGAGAGCTACAGGGAAAGGACACAAAGGGCTGGGACAGGAAAGAGGAATGCACAGCAAGCAGCACAACAAACAACATAATACAAGCAACATAATAAACATAATATAAGCAATAAATATGCATGGGGAAGGGAACACAAGGCTACGATTTCAATCTGTCAAACTTCATATCAGGGTAAAATCCATGCACAAAACACATTAATCACAACCACACTGTGACTGTTTTGCCCCAAGTGTTGCAACAAATGTCAGCAGTTTAATACTACTTTTTATAAGACTCATTAGTATCAGCAGAGAGAGAGAGAGAAGACAAGTCTTGAGAAGAAACCAGCAGAAGGAACAATAACAATAATACTTTTTTTTTAAATACCACTAAGTTTTAACTAGAAAACTTAAGAGGCTAACCGGTTTGTTTGGGGGTTTTTGTTTGGGTTTTGTTTGTTTGTTTGTTTGTGTTTGTTAGTTTCCTGGATTTGAAGTTGACGATGTAGAACTCAATAACATCAGCCTGAAACTTCAGTTCTGCAAACACCTGCGTTCTCAGAAGCAAAATTAAGCCCGTAAACACCGCGTTGGCGATTAATTTTTTTCCTTTTTTTTCCCCTGCTTTAAGGCCACACTGGAGGCCAATGCACACAATCAGACACCACACCAGCCCGCGGGGGGGTCGAGCCCGCCCGTACCCCCCCAAGTCCCTCAGGGCTCGCCCCCCGTACCCCACCACAGTGCACCCATCCCACACCCCCCCAGCGCCGCTCGTAGCCCCTCGGACACCCCGCAATCCCTTCGTGCCGCCTCACCAGCGCTCCCCAGACCGCAGGACGACCCCCCAAACCCCTCAGGAGCCCTGACAGACCCACCCGCACCCCTTCAGAAACCCGCCTCACCCCGTCCCGCCTCACGTTCAAATGCCGCCGCACCGCCCCGCCACCGAGTATCCCTCCGCGACCCCGCCCCTTTCGCCCACCCACCCCTGACTCCCACCGAAAAGCCACCCCCGTTTCACGCAGCACCCGAGGGATTGCGGGTCGCGGGACGGGACCTCCTGCGCCGCCGCGTCTCCCTCGAGGGGTCCGCAGGGCTCGGCGTGGACCGGGGGGACTCTTTTGCTGGCGGAGGGATCACGGGCCGTTGAGTCGCAACACCGCTTGAGGGGGGGGGGAAATAATGCATTCAATAAATTCATTCAACGGGCCGCGCCACGTGACGCGCGGCCACCAATCACAGGCCCTAAGCCACGCTTTATGCAAATAAGGCTGCTTTGTCCCGCCTCTCCGGCAGGGGCGCGGCGATGATTGGATAGGTTTGCTTGCAGCGCGGCGGTGATTGGCCGCGGGTCGTGTCAGTCATCGCGCGGCGCTTCCGGGTGTTGTGGCGGCCCCGGCGCGGCGGGCGCAGCATGAGGCGGGTGACGCTGTTCGTGAACGGCAGCGCCCGCAACGGCAAGGTCAGGCTTAAGGGGCACCGGACGGGGGGGGTCCTGCATCGAGGGGAGCCGAAATCAGGGGGTCCGGGCCCCTCAGGGCGTGCCGGCCCGCGGGGGGTGCCGGCCATGCGCTCCGTTGGCTGCCAGGCCTGGTCCGCGCTGAGGGAGGGTCCTGAGGGAAACCCAAAGGGTTTAAGACGGGAGTCGGTGTTAGAGACGCTCCGGGGCTTTGCTGAGTCGCGTCCTGTCAGTCGCAGCCTGCGGGAGTAGCGCTCCGGGGGTGGGGTGACCCTGTGTGGGGACCCCGGGAATAATGGCACTAAATTGTTTAAAACCTCTCTGGGGTCCTCTCAGGGGTGGAAAAAGTTGATTTCTGGGCCCTGCCAGAAAGGCCCGGTGATGCGGTTCTAAATATAAGCCGTGATCTCGATGTTTCCACTCACACTCTGAGTGCAGGAGTTGATGTGGCTGCACTTTAACGCTGTAGTTCTGTTAAATGTTATCCATAATCCCTCCCATATTTCCCCATCCGCAGACCGTTACTGTGATTGTGCTTTAATGCTGTATTTCTGTTAAATGTTATCCATAATCCTGATTTTCCCATCCACAGAGAGTTAATGCGACTGTAGTTCTATAAATGTTATCCATGATCCTGATATTCCATCCACAGACAAGTGATGTGACTGTTCTTTAACTCTGTATTTCTGGTAAAAGCCATTCATGATCCTGATTTTTCCCTCCACTCTTCAAGTGCAGAAGTTACTGTGGCTGTATTTGAACCTTGCAGTTCTGAATGTTGGCCATGACCCTCATTTTTCCATCCATGGACTAAAACACTTAATGTGACTGTACTTTAATGGTGTATTTCTATTAAATGTTATCCATGAGCCTGATTTTCCCATGCCCAGCTCTGGACTGAAGACACTTCATGTGACTGTACCTTAATTTTTTGCAGTTCTAAATGTATCCATGATCCTCCTTTTTCCATCCTGAGTGCAGACAATGTGACTGCAATTCAGTCTTTGGAACAGAAAAACCAGCAATATTTCTCTAGAGGAATAAAAATCTGAATCATCATATTCTTATTCAACATTCCTTTCACTGCTGCTGTTGAGTCTTGGGAGCTGTGCAAGTCACCCCATTTTTAGGCAGCTTTCCACCATCAAAGTTGGTCTGTTTGCTTGGTTTTTAGTCAAAATCCACATGTATTTTCCTCTCCCTGTAAGATATTTTAGTATATAACATATATTGGTATATAACATGTATTGATATGTAAGATACTTTAAGATATATTGAGATGTAAGATATATCTCAATATAAGGTATATTGAGATAAAAGATATACTGGTATATAAGATATATTGCTATATAAGATTTATTGGTATATAAGATATATTAAAATCTATTGATATATAAGATATATTGATATAAGATATATTGGTATATAAGATATATTAAAATCTGTTGGTATATAAGATATATTGATACAAGATATATTGGTATAAGGTATGTAAAATATATTAAGATATATTGGTATCTGAGAGATATTGGTAACTAAGAGATATTGGTAAATAAGAGATATTGATATATAAGATATATTGATATATAAGTTATATTAATATATAAGAGATACTGGTAAATAAGAGATTGATATATAAGAGATATTGGTAAATAGGAGATATTGGTAAATAGGAGATATTGGTAAATAGGAGATATTGGTAAATAGGAGATATTGGTAAATAGGAGATATTGGTATATAAGAGATATTGATATATAAGTTATATTGATATATAAGAGATATTGGTATATAGGAGATATTGGTAAATAGGAGATATTGGTATATAGGAGATATTGGTAAATAAGAGATATTGATATATAAGTTATATTGATATATAAGTTATATTGATACATAAGAGATATTGGTAAATAAAAGATATTGATATATAAGTTATATTGATCCATAAGATACATTAAGGTATATTGATCTATAAGATATATTGATCCATAAGCCATCTTGATATCCCTGAAGTGGCAGAACTACATGAGCCCAGTTTCCTGCAGTTGATTTTATCCCCCCCATGTCTCCCCAGGTGGTGGCTGTGTATGGGACCCTCTCAGATTTGCTCTCTGTGGCCAGTAACAAGCTTGGAATCAAAGCCACCAGTGTTTACAATGGCAAAGGGGGACTCATTGATGACATTGCTTTGATCAGGTAAGGATTAGCCAATAAAAGACAAATTGGGGGGGGATTAAGAGAGCAGCCTGTTAATCCTCCTTAATCAATAACCAGATATTCTCATTTCCAGCCCAAGGGGCCTTTCATCCCTCCATTAAAAATAATCCTGGCTTTTGAACTTCAGAGCATTTCTCTGTTTAATCACAACTTGATCCAAACTGTGTTGGAGGCCTTTGAACCACCCCCGTGTTGATTCCAGGGCAATGTGTTCACCAGGAAATCCCACTGTTCCAGTCAGCCCTTGGATGGGGATTTTTTTGAAGAGGAGACCACTCCTGTCATTGCTTTGGCATCACAGAATAGCCCCAGACTGGGGAGAAAAGCAACTATTTTGTAAAAATCAGTTGAGTGACAGAAATGGGCCCTACCTGGTCACTGCAGGTAAACCCCTGGTGAAGTCAGTCCAGCCCAATCCACTGGAACCTGCAAAATTCAGACAAAAAAACAGATCCTGAAGTTCCACTTCATGGCAACTGGTTATGATTCACCTGAAAGTGGCCAGGAGGGGTTTCCCTGTCAATGAGATGAACAAGAAATTATGATTAATCTTCTTTTTCTCCTCCTCTCCCCCCTGCCCTCTCCTCTGCTCTCCTCTCACAGGGATGATGATGTTTTGTTTGTCTGTGAAGGGGAGCCCTTCATTGGTAAGTCTATTTAAAATACAGAAAAAAATATATTAAACCCTTGTGTTGCTTCCATAAAAACCTAAGATTTTATCTGCTGCTGTTTTCAGAAGACACCATAGGGAATGGATTAAGAAATAGTCACAGTTTTTCTAATAACTACTAATGTGTCATAATAACTTATTATAAGCATGTCATATTAATGTTATATTAGTTATATATTATTAATTGTTATAAAAATTAGTATAAATAAAGAATTCCTAAGGTGTCTTTTAACCTGTAGATCCTCAGACTGATGGGAGAGCTCAGGAGGAGCTGACAGGGTCCCACACAGACTGGCTGACACTCAATGTGGGAGGCAGATACTTCACCACTACAAGGTAAAAATGCTTTTAGTCTCCAAAAAACTCGATTTCAATGCAGCAAAAGAGCTTGGAAAATAACTTATTATGAAACAGGAGGTCTTTGGCTTCTGCAGCTTTGTGTTTTGTGGTCACCAGCACGATTTGGCAAGAATTCAATTCTTAAATGCTTTGTGTATGAGGTAAAAAGGGAATTGCACTGCCTTTGTTTTCTAGGAGCACTTTGGTTAACAAAGAACCTGACAGCATGTTGGCCCACATGTTTAAAGATAAAGGTGAGTACACTGAAATAAACTTTGTTTTTTTCAAGTAATAAATTAGCAAAGTAGGCACAAGGCACTGTCGAGGTGAGAATCTAAAATATCAAAAATATGTTAAAAGTACCAAAGCAGAACATAGAATTATTCTTTTCATAATTCTTTATTTCTCTGTTGCCCACCTAAAGTTTATCATCTCACAAAGTGGAAATACAACTCCCACCCCCAGTTAGTGTTTTGAGTCCTTTTTTGTTTGTTTGTTTGTCTGTTTGATTTTAGGTTTTCATGTTATTGTTGCTCGGTTTCGTCAGGAGAATCCGTGAGCAAACACTGCCTTTGGGAGACAGTCAGACTCAAACCTTAGTGCTGCTTTTATTCTTATGCATTTGATAAAATATTTTAGTTATTCAGAGCAGCAACAAGTTCATTTTAAGGTGATTTTTTTCCCCCTTACTCCTCCTTTCCTTTTGCAAACCACCCTTTCACACGTGGCATTTTCTCATCCCGCCGCCTTTGGTAATAAAACTCTGCAAGCCAAGCAAATGCTCTTCTATTAATATATCAAATTTAAATCTATATAGTAATATATCCAATTTAATGATCTATATATATATATGTTGTGGAAACAGATGCTTGGGGGAACAAGCAGGATCATAGAGGAGCATTCCTAATTGACCGCAGTCCCGAGTATTTTGAGCCCATTTTGAACTATTTACGTCACGGACAGCTCATTGTAAATGATGGCATTAATTTGCTAGGTAGGTATTACCTGTCTGACATCTGAATTATTCCTCTTTGGGAGTTAAGCTTTGCCCTCCAGGTGAAGCCAGAGGGACCTTTGTGTGCTCATCTCCGTGGTTTTCTTTGGAGTTTTAATTTCCTCGGGATTTGTTCTCGGGCGTTGCAGCTCCACGTTGCTTCATTTAATGAAGGTGTTGCTTGATTTAGTGAAGATCACTTCATTTAATGAAGATTGCTTGATTTAATGAAGACAGGCTGTTTGTTTATCTTGGGAGCATTAAAAGTTTTCCATCCTGGATTCATGTCTGGCTGGAATTCTGGAGCTGATACCTTTAACCCAATGCTGCTGTTGCAAACATCCTGGCTGAGTGATTTTTTTTTTTTCCTTTTAGCTGCAAGCAAGCTTTCCCTCTGCCCAGTTACATCTAATACAATGTCTGTGGTTGTTCTCCAGTAGGGAGAAGGGTGATTTCTGGATTCACAGTTCCCTGGAAATGACAAACTCTTTGTTTCCAGGTGTCCTGGAGGAAGCCAGGTTTTTTGGTATCGATTCCCTAATCGAACACC